TTTAATCTTAAATGAACAATTCTAAAATCTAGAATATAATGATAGTATGTATCTTTTGTCGAATATCGTGGTGCCAAGATGGAGGGAAAATTTATTCTAAACACAAGAACATATAAACCTACTCTTGTCTCGATATAGTAAGTCAATATTTTTTAACTCGACAGAGGAGAATAAGAATTGTTGATTTCATTTGGATATCGTCTTATTTTTATACTAAATGAGGTTGTGAAAAATATAAACGCGTCAAGAATATTTATATCTCGGTAACGGAAATCCTTTCTGAGGGTGCAGGCGGCTACAGATTGTCGGGTGCACTCGTTCCTTCGGCGGCCGCGCGTTTAGCAAAATACTTATCGCATTTCGTCAATATTTCGCAACCTTCCGACGGGGCGAGTTAAGTCACTGAAAAAATCCACCTGTCAAGGGTCGAGTTTGGCCGTAGACGTCGCTCTCTCTCTCTCTCTCTCTCTCCGATCTCCGCGAAGGAATTCTCCGCGCTGCACGCGAAAGAGGTTTGCGCGATCCCATTGAAGCAAGACACGCACGCACGTTTCGGCAATTTTGCAAGCGCAACCGGGACCGGGAGCAGCGACGGGACGCGGCGGAATTGAGCGGTAAAAAGCGCGCGCTGCATCGGCTCCGCGCCGAGCCGGCCGCGATTGAGACGCCGCTACCGAGCGCAAACATATCATTTGCCCGAAATTGTCAATACTCATTATATCCGGCTTACTCGGAACTGCTTTCAGGGCGAGACGCGATTAACACCTCGAGGACGTATCGCTGACATTTATACCCGGCGCACGGAGGACACGAACGTCGAGATTCCGTTTCTCGCGCGTATTTATGATCGACAGAAATGTGTCTCTCGCGTCGAGATCCCCGGAGCAAGCGGCGCCGGATTTTAATTCTCGCTCCTAATCAGCGGGACCGACCGAGCGGCGTGAAGATAGGAGGCGCGCGAAGAGGAGATCCCGGCGTAAGTTGGGCGACAAAGGAGGGCTACGGTCGAAAAGATAAAAAAGAAAACGAGAGTCGCGTCACTGCCAACGCGCGTGAAACGTGTAAACACGCGAGCGGTTTATCGGCGCTGCGCGGGAAGCGCCCGCACTCGCGCGGATCTCGGTTATCGGAATCGAATGCGGCGCCTGTTTAGCGGCGGCCGCGTTCAACGGTCGACAAGTGTCAACGCGGCCGAATCTAATCCGGCGGCTCTCGCGCGTCTCGGGTCGAAAACGAGTCCGCCGGGTGTCCCGTATTTGCATAGAACGCGAAACCACCCGCGACGGGAGAGAATGCCATTTTTCAGAGACCGCGTATTTCGAGCACTAATCCGCGATGTGACAATATTACGTCGTAAAAACAATTTGGAGGGATATTACGCGGACGTTAACGTTCGCTCTTCGTGGCGGATTCTACTTGGAAAGTGCGGCTCGCTCGGTACCGAGTTCTCGCAGCAACATGTCGCGGTGTGTAAAAGCGACAATCAACATTTCTCCCGCGCGTTATCTTGGAATTGCGACAATTGAACTTGCGCGATTGTTGAAAAGACTCGAGAGCACCGAGCGCCGAGAACGCATCGGAAAAGACACGTTGCGTACGTCCGACGGGCGGAGACGTAGCGCGATTCAACGCGAGAGTAAATCAAGTGTGTCCGCCAGTCTTGAAAAATCGCCTGTACCGGTCCAAGTGGCCCGGAGGTGCGACAGTTGCATTCACATTTTTCCGCATTAGACGCGCGTTAGACGCGTAAATACGTCGCGCCTAAACACGTTGCACTTGAGCGCGATCTCCCTGGCAGATTTCTCGTGAGCGAGTGTAAAGGGCCCGGGCACGAGGCTATTGTCCACGCGGCATTTTGACCGTCGCGTGAACGCGAAACCGCAAGCGACGCAGAGCGCTGATTAATTCCTCGAAAGGAGACGCGTCGGAAGCCGCGATGTCCGGCGGGATTGAGAATTCAGACGGGCGTAAACGCCGCTGAAGTATCGGACGATCGTGCGAAATCGCAAACCGGGCGCCGGGTGAGAGGCTAATGTGGATTTCGACAAGCGCCGGGCTTACGTTTAAACGAAAGAACGCTCGGCGAGTCTCGCGATACGAGCGCTGAATAATTTGCGCAATTGTCACGTGGCGCGACGCCGCCGCCGGTGCCTCAGATTTGTCGAAACGATGATTCATCCGCGCCCGCGTCACTCCCGGCGGTCGAATTGCAAAAAGGGGATTTCAATGACGCTTAAGTGAATTATCGCGGACAACTATCTGTTACCGGAATAATATCGCGATCATTCATCGCGTTAGAACGGGCGCGGTGGTGCGCCCAACTTTTGACACGTTAGAAATGCGCGCGAGACGGAGCGAGTGGAAACGCGTTTCGGCGTGGCGACGCCTTGCGTCGCTGATCGAGTACAGCGGAACGCCTGGCCGCGCGCGTTTTAATTACGGCCGCGGCCGCCTCCGAAAACCAACCGTCGGACAATAGTCGCGCGCGAGAAACGAAACACGACTAAGGGCTCGCCCTTCAGATTCACGAGATTCACAAACGTCAGTTAACTGCTGGCCGAAGGTTCACTGATTCTTAAACGATAAGATGGAAAAGGATAGAAAGTCGACTGAACTCTGGTTAACGACGTTCGCGAAACTGGCCCTAAGGGCCCGCGCGGGAAAGATGGTCGTAACCGTTTGCGGTGCTGTCGTAAGACTTAAGTCGACGCGCGAACGATTGTCGTGGACGCGGCGAACGCGACATACGTCTACGACAGTCCCTTGCGCGTCGACTTCCGACATCGACTCGCGTCTTACTGCGGAATCGTAAACACCTCTGCGTCGTCTACGATGCGTGGAGTAGGCCCGCAGGAAAGAAATAAATCAAGTTTATTTCTTACTCCTACTTCAGCTCGCGCGCTTAGGGCCCGAGCTGTCTTGTACTCTTGAAACAATGTTTTGCGTTTTAAATCTTTGTCCTAAAGTAACGCACAATAATTGTCGCGTGACTCAAGAATACAAAACAGCTATTTCGGCCCAGGCCCTCGCTCTCGAAGAATCGAGACGCCGGTGTTGCAAATATTTTAAAAACCGTATTTTTGCTTACTCACATAAAAAAACATGGCTCTCTGTCACTCCTTACTCCAAGCTTACTCCGCGTATGGTAGACGACGCTTTACGACAATCTTCCTGCTCAGGTCCTAAGCCTAATGTCACACTTGCGACGAATGTTTTATTAAGCGAGCTGACTGCGGAATAGAAAAGTGGTCGAGTCCCTAGAAATGTTCTAGCTTGTAGCCAATCGACACGCTTCAAGATTTGCCGTACGACAAACACGTAACGGTACCCCAAGGCTGGTATTATACTTGTCGCGCGACAATGCTTCGGGCACGTTGATTGGCTCCGAAATAGTAAAGTTCTCGAGTATCCAGAGACTTTGCCGCAGCCAACCGACGCTCTTAAAGGCCCGCGTCCACGAGACGCCAGAACTCGAGCTGAGTTCTAGTTTCGAGAAACGTGTAGCCAATCAGCTTGCAGCTTTTACGGAATAGCCGTTACAGGCTGGGACGTTTCTTGAAACTGGAACTCGGGCCGAGCTCCAGCGCGTCTCGTGGAACACGCGGGCCTGAAAAAATGTGTCGCGCGACAAATGGTAATACCAGTCTGAAGGACGGCGGACGAAAACAAGCCGCGATCCCGGGTCGCGCGCGGGTCTAGAAGGCAGCGAGAGGACTCCTCGCCGGCGGGAGTCCCGAAACGGTCTCTCTCGGCGTAAATATTCAACAACGGGCGACCCCTCTGCTCCGGATCCTCTCGGATCCCGCGCGCGCGGCTTCTCCGCTCTCCGACGGCGACGAGGCGAGTCGTCTCACGATCGAGGCCAGAGGAAATTTACTCCGCGGTGTTGCGGCCGTCATTATCGTTCGCAATTACGCCGCGGTCAAAGTCGTCCGATTACGACGCGTGCAATCGACACGTAAACACGAAACGAGCCCGCGAGACTCGCGGCGGATTCATCGGGTCCCCCCCCGCGCGCGCGCGCGCCACTTTCTCGTTTCTCCCTCGCGAGTGCGCGAGTCCGCGACGCCGGGCGCGCGCCAATTTCGCGCGTGAGCGAGAAGCCTCCGCTCTCGGCGAGGCCGGGAGCAGCCGCCCCTTTGTGCGGCCGTCGCTCCTCTTTCTTCGGCCGTCGGCGCGGCGCGCTGCGAGCGACGCGACGTTACAAAGCGCCGAGGCGGACGACATGTAAATTCCCTTTCGACACGGCGGCGCGACGTCGATATTCGATTCAAATTCAAACGGCCGCGGGGACTCGCGCGCGCGCGCGCGCGCCGTCGGAGCGCGAAGGAGGAGAAGCGCTTTGCCAGGCCCCGGAGAGATTCCCGAATCTCGGAAGCGAGGGATCGTCGGGAGGAACACGTCCGCGAGAAATTGCAGCTCCCCCCTGACGTTTTTATCGTCAAACACGCGGGATACGAGAAAGGTCGAACCTGCCCGCGACGGCGCACCGACACTCGCCAGGTTCTCTCGCTTCACTCGCAAACTCAATTGACTCCGCGATCCGAGATCCGTGTCCAAGTCCTATGCTGCTCCGGAAAGGGCTACGCGTTGACCGGCTACGCACTTCTCGGAGCTAGAACTCGGGCACAGTTCTCGGACATCCTCAGGGCACTCCGAGCTAAGACTCCGGTGGGCGTTTCCGTCGCTAGCGATTTCGTTCTCTCGAGAAGGACGGAGTCTCGCGGAGGTTCAGGCCCAGTCTGGCCGACGTTAACTTTGACCTCGGTTCAATTCGTCCCAGCCGTCCCTCGAGGCCTGCGTCCACGAGCTCGGTCCGAGTTCTAGCTCCGAGGTACGCGTAGGCAACTCGACTCGCGGCTTCTGCGGAATAGCTAGAACCGGGCTCGAGCGTCCCGTGGACGCGGGCCTCGAGGAGGCGAGGAGGAACGAACGGAGGGCGAAGAAGCGACGTCGGGGCGAGACCGGGCGGGCGGCGGAAAGAGACGAATGCGACTCACCCTTGGCTGCGCCATGAACGCCCTGGCCGCGCCGGGGAACTCTGCGTGCTGAGCCACCGTAGCGGCTATATTTTCCCACAACGTAAGCGAGCGAGCCCCGAACACTTCACTATACACTTGCTCGGCGCACTGTTACAGCGCGCTAAGCTCGGGCGCTTGGACGCGCGCTGCTTTCACGAGAGGACGAGGTCGTCCGACGGAAAAAGGGGGACGGTGGGGTCACCAGGGGCCACCGAAAATCCGGGCTCCGTCGGCGGCCGACGGCACACGCTGCGCGCGGACGAAAAACCCTCTTCTTCTCTCCCGGCGCGAGAGCGTCGGTCCCTCCTGTCTCTCTCCGCGTAAGAGTCTTCCTCTTCCCTCCCTGTCCCGCTGTCGTCTCGTGACTCGAGGGACGCTGGGCGACTCCGGAGTGCGTCAGCAGAGCAGCTCGGCGGTCTGCTGTTGCGGCGGGACTCGTGCGACGGCGACGGCGACGGCTGCGGCTGCCGGGTGCGCGTGCTTCCTCATCATCGGCTCGTCGGCGGCGACGCCGCGCAAGCAGCACGCGGGTGGACAAACACACCACGTCAGTCCCGCATAGTCACGCCAAGCGGAGCCTGTACAGCGCGCGCGGGGGTGCCAGGCGGGAGGGGGGGGAGGGGGGCACGCGTGTGCCTCTGACCTCCGCGCGATATCAACAATTATCCCGCGGGAGGAGGAGGAGGGGGGGACGGGGGCGGAAGAAAGCGGCGCACACCTAGAGCGCGTACGCGCGCGGCTCGACGGCGAGGCCCGTCATCGAGACGACGCCAGGGCTCGTCTCTGTTCCTTCGAGAGAGAGTCAAGTCCTCGCTCTCTAGCTCTCTCACTCTCTCTCTCTCTTTTCTCTTTTCTTCTCTCCTTCTCTCCTTACATCCGCGACGCGACGATTCCTCAACCGGCACACTTGCTCTTCGCGCACAACAACCGACGATGTATCTACCTCGCCGACGACGTCACTGGCGGGCGCACGTTACATTTTCCAGTTCACGAGACACCGTGCTCACGGGTGGGCGTGTGGGTGTGTGTGTGTGTGTGTGGAGCCACGATGACGCCCGGCGACGCGGATGACGACGACGACGGGCGCCACGACGCCGGGGCACACTATTCACCGTCGCGGCGCACAGTCAGCGTGTGCGTTGCGGCTTTGACGGCAACGGCGGCGTTGCCACGGCACGGCACGGCACGACACGGCACGGCACTGCACGGCACGGCACGGCACGGCACGACGTTGTTCTCCGGCGACACGTTGCTCCGCGGTGGCCGCCTTTACGCGTCTCGCGCACCGGATCCCCGAACGA